AAAATTTGTATTTACCTGATAAATTTGAGCAAATTCTTGAAATGTGTAAAAAGTGCAAGTCTCAATGTCTTTTATTAAGTCATAAATTATAGTCACTCCTTTATTATACCATGTCTTGAAAAATATTGATTTTCCCCCAATAGTAAAATTCCTATTGTACCATAATGGCATTTTCCAGATGCAACTTTCATTAATTTGTTTCACCCGCTCCTTTTCATTAAACCTTCTCCATGCTTTAAAGACATCTTTCCAAAAATAATTTGTGCACTTATTAAGACATATTGAAATGTAATCACTTCCACAATGAGATAGCATATGTAAGTCAAGATGTGTTTCTAAGATAACTTGCCACTTGCCCGACTTCTGATATAATCTCCGTATCCACCCTAATTTTAAGGAATCAATGAATGACCTTATATTAACCATTTTAAGACCCCCTTCAAAATAATTTTGAAATATCACATCTCTCCTTATTTTATCAGTTTTACTGTTCCATAAAAAGTTAAAGAGAATATTATTTAATTGATTCAAAAAAAGATCATCAGGATTTGGCAATGGTGATATCATTAAAGACTTTATCAGATGGATTCTACCTATAGGAGTAAGTGATCTGCTGTTCCATGCCATGATAAGTGCTTTAAGTTTAATTAATTTTTTATCAAAATTTAATTTCGGGATTTCATGAAGATTGACACTAAATTCTATTCCCAGAAGCATGAATAGTTGAACTTATCTTAATGCTGGCTAGATTGACAAGCCGTGATCAGAATTGAACCTAACAACTCAATGCTGGTTAGATTGAAAAGCAATGACTAATGTTGAACCTAGACTGATAACACGTGACTAGATCGAAACCTTACACAATCCTGGCTAGATTGTAAGAATGCTATATGTTCAAAGAAGAATTTAATGTAAACTTTTCAAAATGCACAAAGATACAAATAAATATATAATTATTCACCTGGGTATATACTTCGTATTGCTTTCGTCCATAGGTTACAGAGGTCATTAGAAGTTTGATTGACTAACGACGCATTGTACATAGCGCACGTCATTTTCGCGATTTGGAACGATTCAGTCGCACGTGGAATGATGAGATAACACGAGAGATCGTCTGACAGTAACATGATCTTGGAATCCACGACCAGTTTAGGATATATATCATGGAAAGCCTCCCTGCATCCTGGGTCTGAAATTAGAAAAAAAATTCTTAAGTTTTAATAAACACCGGCTTTAAAAGATTTTTTTGTTTGCTTGAGGGATGTTAAAATTTCTGATTCTCATAGATGCAGTAAGGTCGTCTATTTCGAAACAAAGCCAAATAGACCTGCTTAAAAGGAACCACAAACTTCCAATTTTACTCCTTTATTATACCGAAACGAAATGAAATGATAAATAGAAATATTCCGAGCAGCAAGAACTAAAAACAGGCTATTAAGTGTCTATACAGTCGGAAACAAAATAATATAATATCTCCGAATTGACCGGGGACAGGATTTGTTACAGTTTCCATCCAGAGATCCAAATATACGATTTGCTGTCAATATTTACGCCCTTACCATTAACTAAATGTTGAAAGATATGAAAACAAATTAAGTTCAACTTGCTTTATTCCCCGAAATATACTTGAAAATTATCAGGACATTTTAAACATAAGTTACTCTCCCCATGTAAAACAATTCTCTGTATATACTATACAAATATATAGAACGAACGATGACTGGGGTTAACTTACCATCAAATTCTATTTATAAAGGAAAATAGAGAGGTAAACGAGCACTAGACACACTCGGTATAACCAACAGACAGATTGATATTTATATTATAAGAGTTCCTTAGATTAAACGAGATGTTTTAGATGAAATTTGGGGTGCGATAATATCATGAAGGTAAGAAAGAGTTCAGGTATATGAATTACTGTTTAATATAGACTTTCTCGCCCTCATCTTCAAATGTAATTGAACCAGTTTCAAAGTAGAGGGATTCTCTTATATAAAATGGCATTCTTGTGACCAACTGCAATTTATCTGTATCGTACCGGGCACAACCATCCCATACCTCACAGCCGTACTCTAATGGAGGTAAATATCATCGCTTTACAGAATGAAAGATATGCTTAATAATCTTCTATTCTATGAGTGTCGACACAATATAAATCTATCTATAACAATATTTTGCGTTTGAAAATAAAGGTGTGAGCATTATTTAAATTGTTACTTCTGAAATATATTTTAGCATGAAGCTGCTCGACTTAATCTTTCCTAAAATATGAACAAAACACCACAAAAGAATACAGAATTACCTGCCAAACTTTTCAGACCGAAACTTTGGCGTTGAACGTCTGTACAAAATAGCAAATACTGTCACATTTCTTTAATGATCTCGATTCATAAAATACGTATCTTACCTTCACGGGCGACGACCGAGAGCTTGAAACCTGATGCAGAAACTGAATTATCAGACCTAAATCGAAGATCTGCTTGGTTGCTTTGTGATGTCCAATCCATTAATTTAATCTTTGTATTCCAATCACCACATCGCACAATATCCGGGGATGCGGTAGTGAAACTGCTTAGGGTGAAGTTATCGCAAATGCAGCTGTTAAGAGAAAGTATTATGACTTGTGTCGTTAAGCTGAGGAAAATCCTAATCGAAATATAGAATTTCTAAATCATATATAATAGTAAATAATTAGCATAGCACATCAACCACAAAGGAAATAATTGTAACACAAAAGAAAATTATCTGATTGATAATAGAAAATTGCAAGCTAATAACCTCATCACACTCAGACGCATTTCCACTACGTCCTCAAAGAAATTGGCTGGATGCAGTAAGAACTTTTACAGCGCAAAAAGATTAATAGATACTTTTGATGCTAACCACTTATATTGCACTTTTGCAACAGATTGAGTATAAATACTGGATCCAAACTACCATTGGATATGGATACAAAGAATCATAACGTTCTTCATTTACTTCTGTACTGGCAGCTGGTGAAGGTCTTTTGGACATCCCTATACACGCCCTCTGTCTTTGCCTTTTTGAATATCCTGATTTCTTCCACGACATAATTGAGGAGCGTACTTGGTTATGTAAATATGGACATCAAAAAACGATGGAAAATGTGCAGCGCGTGATGGCTTATTTATTTGGAATGGACTAACGCAGTGAGAACGTGGAAAGTGCGTGGCAAAAGCGTGGTGGATCTGATTGGATGCAGGAAGAACGCAGTAAGAAAGCATTAGGCTTTGTGCGCGCGTGTTCATGTACATACTAAGAAATTATTGGGAATGTATTCGAAATAGTGAGAACCTGGCAAGTAGGTACAATGTAGGAAGGACGTATTATGAACGTGAAAACTGAACTTTATTCAATTTTCACCATCTTCCTACTCCGTTTACCGAACATTTTAGGACACAGTGCGTCCTTTTTAGAACCATGTTTTACCTTCTAGATGGTTCTAAGTCGAATGCTTCAAAATGGACATGTAAGCGGTGAAATGGATTAGAGCTTGTCAAATGATGTGTTGTGTCCGTGAAGTCATCATACTTTCTAGGAAAGTTTGGGCTGTGTATAACAATTTGTTCCTGACTGTCCATTTGTACATCAACAACTGTCGTTGTTTTCAAGCTGTTCCAGCCAGCAGAAGGCGTTGCTAAATCTAAAAGAAAAGATATTACATTACACATGATTAAAGCGTCAACATGCAATGTACTGTAGCTAAATTTAAACTTAAAGTCGACACGAAAGACAATAATGATAACTTAGAAGACATTGAAACAATATGATCCTTCCAAGAGAACAATACATGTAGACCAGTCATGTTGAGCTAATATCATAACCATTATACCTACAACTGCCCCCTTGTTTAATAATCACCATTAAATGGTGTGTTTCTTACTTTCCAGTCTATATTTTGCCCTTTACAGTGTATTCAATGTACAGTAAACGGTGTTTTACTGTCATGACGCATTCGCCCTCGACACGATGGAAGATAATCGCGAAAGTGTATGTAATCATATAGTCTACATTTCTTAATTTTGCCTTTCTTCGAGAGCTGAAACTAGTAGAGTAAAGTCGATTTTACCATTTTACTGCGGAAATATTAAATATATTTACGATTAGCATTGCTTTGTTCTTTCGTTAATTATCAAATATATATGCTTTATATATACATTACCTCCATGTTTCGATCTTTGACAGATGTAGGGGTTTCTAATACGGCAGTTCCTGTCATTCCAGTAGTAAGTATGGGTGGCTTTCTCCCCTTTGACCGGGAGGGGGAAACTGTTTCTTATTTCAACACAATCCTCTTCAGATAAGCCATCGTCACTCGGTTGTTTGACTTTAAACCCATTTTCAGGCCATCCTTCAAACCAATCTACAATTGTATTTCATTCATACAGGCATCATAAACGTTACAACAAACATCAATACCCGGTTTAGTAAACAGCTATATCGTTTTTGTTTCTTCATTTGAAATGAAATTAACTTAGTTATATAAGAACAGTGTGAATAGAAAATAGCGATTTGTGTCGTGCACCTTGCGTTCAACCTATGTGCATGGCGGCTGTATAATAAAACACTATTTTATAAAGATGCACTATAGTAAGCTTTGGTTTTATAAATTCTAACAAGGCAACTGCAAATATATATAATTTTGTTACCAATGAGGTAAATACTTACAGAAGTAATACTTATTACGTACATGTAAAGTTCAGACGTGTGAGGTCAGCCCAGTAAAAGTCTCCTTCAAACACATGGTCACGGGCACCAATCCAAAAAGAGGAGGACAGCTGGGTGCAATAGGAACTGACAAAGAGAAGAACATTAAAGACATTCAGCAGAAGCCCAACCTCTTGGACTTTCATCGATCTCGGTAGCATAATGTGTAAATTGAACATTTGCTAGTTAGATATATACAAATGTAGGAGAGAATCTCATGATTTAACGTTTATTCCGGAGATATTTATACAAACGTCATTAAATAATGGACACATACATATATATTGGTTATGATATTCAATCTAAGTCATCCCTGGACTAATTTTCTAGTTGAAATCATTTATTGACGTAATAGATGATAGTCAAACATCTCACAATTGGAAAATTCAAGCGAACCTACACAGGTCCTATAATTCTAATACATCTCTCTCTCTTAAGTAAATTTTAAACATTGCAGATTTGACACTTTTAATTAACTGGATCCAGGCGGATCGGAACACAGAGATCTGGGAATTAGTTACAGCTGCTATGCTTGGATCTTAACTGATGTTTTTTGAGTAATATGAGTTATCTTAACCGTTTTAGTTCTTAGATTAGTTGCCAATGGAAAGCATCCCCATGCAAACCCCACACCCCAACCTAAAACCCAACCCCAGTTTCGAAGTCGATCCCCTATTTTTTTCTCGCATAAAAAATCACAATTCTAGACATTGCACTTGCCTTACTCTGACATCATTGTGTGATACGTCAAGGAAATAACCCATTAAAATTAATGTATCGATGACATTTTAATTAAAATCTCCATTAAACCAGAATTTAATATTGAAATATATTGAAACGATTGAAAACTGTTGATCTAAAGACAAAATATCGAATCGTGTGGCCTTTCAAATGAATAGTAATCAGAGTTAAAAGTAGTTGTTTTCAGCATCATCAGAGTCTATACCCTTTTGTTTGAATTTTAGAAGAAAAAAATATTGTGAACGAATACTCCAGTGGTTGGAGGATAGCACAAACAAAGCTAAAATAAAGAAAATGTCAATTAAAAACTTCTATCTATAGCCAGTAATACTAAGTACACGCTGTCACCGACATTTGAAGAAAATGATCCTGAGTGTTGTTAGAGGAATATATTTCTAACGTTTTCATTTAACGACTATTGTAAGGAATTATACTCAAAACAGTAAACGTAAACACGGTTGGACTTTTCGATAAAAAAAATCTTAACCACACGGAAAGATATTATATTAATTATAAAGATTTAATAAAAAAGGAAATACTTTGCTTTATATTTTCAGAGAATAGTAGACGTGTTATACTCACTTGTTCCTTAAGAACTTGTCAATTAACAGTTGTGTAAAGATGTTGGTAATAGAGGCAAGTAAACCTCCGCTGTTTCTGCAATCCAAATTTGCCTCAGACCAGGACTTCCCCTTCCAAACGAAGTCATACATGATGTCGTCGGTATCCATGGATATGGTTGGACAAACGAGGTCATCACGTGGTACGGTGTCCACTAAACGCCACTGCCCACTGTAGCCAGGTCGTGTGAGGTGACCGTTAGAGACAAATTGCACCTGAATGAATCTTGATGACGAATAGAACAACAATGGTATTCTGTCCCGGGTACAGTGGCCGCACATGCGCGTCATGACACCATCGGTATCTATGTCTACATAATCATCTCTACAACTTCCAGCGTGCATGCAGGCATCGTTTTCGCTTGAAACAGTGTGGAAATATGTAAATTTCAGTTCTAAAATTCCCGAATATTCTGTCAAATTTATAGTTGAAAAGCAATTTTGTTCATTCAAATAATTATCAGGAAAATTTACGCTGTTCAAATTCCCTTTGGTGATGTTAAGGTATGTGGTATTTTTGCAGGATTCTATCGCGCTATACTGAAACACAAAACCTTTACCTTCATGCAAACTGTATGATTGAAATACCACATTTACTGAAGATCCACTAGACTGTATTATTGTTTGTTCAGCGCTATAGTCCATCCTTCTACCACAAAAATAGAAATTGTTTAATGGTAATTGGTCGTGTTCTGTGGTATTTTGTATGATTTTTAGATAATCCTCATTATTAGAGCAGCTGCCTGTCTTTGCTGATATGTCCAGATCTAGATATTGTAAATGAAGTGAAATTCGAAAACGGGTCGGTAGCGTTATTTGAACAGTACATTTCATCATAGGGAAATATTTATCCGGATGATTTGGGCTATATATTTTTCCTGTCAAATTCGATGTGGTGTAGCTACAGGAATCTGTAAAATAAAATCAAGAAAATATATTTGAAAATTAAATGCAGGGCAAGAAAATACACGAACATACTCCCATGATACACAAGTTTGCGTAAGACATCATTTCCTTATCCTACTTATTGCAAAAATGCAGTTGTGTGATCGCACAACGCACCCAAATTATCGTGCTCATTTTGTCCGCACATATACATGTGCGATTTACAAACAATCGCCTCTGGTGTGATAAAATGCACACATATCTGGAATTTGGTAAAATTCATTGTAGATGTTACGAAACTTTCATATTCGAATTGTTCTATTCTCTACAGTTCAGGTAATTATGCAACATAACGCAAAAAACAATATTTCGCGAAAAATATGCTTTAAAGAAAACAAGACCTACCGTAATGCATAATTTTACAACAGTATTACACAAAACGTTCCTGACAGCAAACTACTCTAAGTCAAAACATGTGCAAATCCGACGTGAATGACTTTATGCCTAGACAATATTAAAATTAACTTACCGATATTGGCCTTTACTATGGTGTAGTAATAGGCATCGAATCCTCCAGCAACTACCTTATAATCCGTCACGAAAGTCAGAAGTAAAATCCCGTCATCGGAAAGGAAATTCAGATCATTTAGACCAGTACTGTTTCTTGTCCCACAAAGTGTTGTTATGTTATCTGTAGTTTGAATCAGGACAGAGTCAAAACACTCTTTGTCATAAGCAGGTTCAAGATGAAACGATCGGAACTGAAAGGACAAACGAAATATGTGTTGACCCTAAATAAAATATGTAATATCCACAAGCTGCATAATATATATGATAAGTCGGTGATTGTTTACACTATCCTTGAAAATCAGTCAGTGCCATTCCTAACTTAAATGTGGCAAGATTCTGAAAAAGCTAGACAACGATACATTTTTTGAAAATGATAAAAGGGAATACACTGCTAAAAATACTACATTTCACCACGGAACAGTCAACTTTGTAGTAACTGGATTATTGAGACTAACCTTATTTTGGTTTAATGAAGGGGATTTGTTTTCTGTAGATAAAAATGTCGCGATTCACACCTTGCACGGCTTTGTGCGTATACTATTTTTATACTAGAAATAAACCTTTCTCTTGAACGGACTCAAATAGATTCTGTAAAAAATATGTTATTAATAATAACATCTCACCTGCAATCGGACTTGATGTTGGTATGAAGTATAGATTACGTAGGTACACTTATAGTTGTCAGTATATTTCAGTGGAAACCCCGGACTACTCACTGTTCCTCTAGTGTCAGCATTGTAATACTGTCTGCAACCTTTTAAATAATAAAAGCACACCATTACAAACTAGCACTATGTAGTATATTGCAATTGAACAGTTACAGAAAATCGCAACAAAAAAACTAAAATAGACACCAATATGAGATACCAACGCAGACTGAACGATACCTTGAAACAACATTGAAATCAAATCAAAACCCCTTTCTGCAATTCTACTATGATTTTTGTTCTTCTTAGTGTGGTGTTTTCAAAATTTAAAATCATAACGTCAGATAAGTTCAGTTATAGAATGACATATTTTGCGTTGAATGATAGGGAATGGACTGTTGTACTGGTTTGGTTTAGTATTGTTTAACGTCCTATCAACAGCTATGGTCAATTAAGGACGGCCTGCCCTGTGTGCAAGATGCATGCGTGTAGTGCATGCGTGTGTGTTTTGGGAGGCTGCGATATGTTCGTGTGTGTTTCCTTGTGATAGCGCGGAACTGATGCCGACTTTATAGTGCTACTTCACTGAAACATACTGCCGAAGACACCCAGCAGGACACCCCACTCGGTCACATTATACTGACAACGGGCAAACCAGTCGTCCCACTCCTAAATTGCTGAGCGTTAAGCAGGAGTAGAAACTACCATTTTTCTGGTATGTCTCGGCCAGGGGACAGAACCCAAAGCCTTCCTCACAGGGGCGAATGCTCAACCAAAGGCCAAAAGTGAGGTATTGTCAAGGGAGACATTAGGAAGAAGACAGTTGTTTAAAAAGAAGAGAAAAGATAAGATCCCAAATTTAGTCGCCTTTTACGATCATGCAAAGGGGCAGCAAGTACAATTCTTACGCCCTACTTGCAGACACTGACTGTTGTAGAACTCTCTGTAAAGTCAGTAGTAATAAATATATTATGTATCTGTTAATTACGGCACGTCAACTCCTTTTTCTAATACGTAACGTTGTTCTTGTTTCGAGTATCCTAGAGATCATTCATATATATTAACTGACATGTACTTTTTCAAGTGTATCGCAATGGAACATCCTTTTTGAAAATTGACAACAATTTGCCGCTGTGTGTCCTTTCGCACAGAGAGCTACCACCCTGAAACGGTTTAAGTAAATGAAATCTAGATGTAAATTGATATAATACAGATGTAAATGAAGCGTACAGATCGGGTTTTAATCGCTAACGTGAGAAAATACGAGAATTTGTAGGTTTGGGTTAAACCTCGATGACCTGACGAAGTAAACATAATATAAACTTACCTGGAGGTTTACAGATTTTCAAACTAATATTGAAGCCTTGAGTAGTATTGCTCCATATAGTCGCCCTGTAATCAAATAAGTCAAATACAAAAACCTCTTACCGCTTTTAAATTGAACAATATGCCAAACAGAAGATTATTACTTGTTTCAGTTCTTTTTCAAAAAAGCCTGGTAATTTTTCAGATTTTTCAATATTTTCAGGACACATAAGAGAATACATTTATTTTGTTAAATGCTTAGGTTCATATCACCCTTTATGAAAGTATTAGTAACTAGAAGGATATTACAAAAATGTATCACTCTCGTTATCATTAGATAATGCATAAAATAAAACGTGTTTTTCATCTATATATCTAAGGCAATTGAGGAAGAGGTGACTTGCATCTTTAATAATATAACCACAGTCTGAATTAGGGTAACCTGTAAGATGATCCTTATATAAATCTGCGTTTAACAGGCTGACTTCAATCCGTAGTTGACGTGATATTATATTCAATTTCCGGGAGCAACCGTATTTTAAAATATCTGCACAGTTAGATTAAGTAATTCCAGTTTAAACCGGCCCAACTAAAGGAGTTTTGGGAACCTTTCAATTGTCGATTCTAGAAAGTGCGCGTGTTAATAAATGAAATAGCGACAGAAGATTAACTGTATACCAACAATTATGTTTCTTGCATTTGTTACAGATTGATGAGATTCTCCATCCTGTGGAACATGATCATTCTGATGTATGATATTGTATAGCTTGATATATAACTAGCTCGCCTGAACCATTCATTTTTATAGCGAATGGGTTCTTGAATGAGGCCATTTATCAGCCGTTATAAAGGTAGATATAGCTTATATATGTCTTTTTTATTCTTCTACGAAACATTTATTTAGTCATAGCCAGAGATACTCAACATTCATGAACTGATTTTGACGTATAACATTTGAATGTCTTTGTTATTTATGGCAAGCGTGACTGTGTGTTTGATGACATGCAGACAATCAAATGGGAGTGCGCATATCACGTTTCATAGAGGCAGTACCGGTTTTTATAGTTCTCAGATAAAAGAGACTCCAGTTAGACCCATTAAAAGACTGTCTTCTAGTTTTGTTGATGAATGTTACCATGCAACACATTATATAGAGCGGACAGATTTGATGTACATTAGTGGTTATGTCGTTAATGTTTATATAAGCATGGAATTCAGAACATGTTTTGCCTAATCCAGGTTTTCTGGGCTCGTTACTAGATCAGGAGGAGGAGTCATTCGAAAACAAATAATGTTGTATTAACATGTCCAACTGCATTGCAATACATGGAACTCTTTAGAGATGAAACTATTATAGACTAAAAATGCATAACAAGAACAAAATTCTTATCTGACAATTCGCTGGGATTTTTCACATGAGGACCTAGGATCATTGTCTTGGCCTGTTGGGACTTGTAAAATGCTATTAGAATTCGCCAGATAAATATGACATCCCTTCACTTTGAAAGTTGGTCAAGGCAATTCGTTTGAAATTCGGTAGTCCTTTATCCCAATATGCTTCTAGCAAAATATCATCACCGATGGCCTCTTAGATCACGAGAACTAAAGCACTATTGACATTTGACCCATATTTTTAAACAAAACGTCAACCTCTAACCTTGAAATAGAGAACGTTACACGCATTTGCGTTTTTCACATCATACTAGAACATGCACGCTTTCAGAATGTATGTTGTTAAGAGTAATTAAACAAACCTGCTAGCCAATAACCCAATCAAGTTACACGTAAAATATCAAGACTTCAGACCTTATAAAACTGAAGAAGGGTTTTTTTGGCATTGCACATATGAACTTTGAAACCTACCAAAAACAAAAAGTTGACTTTTGAACCGAAAACTGTACTAAGAAAAAGTAGGTGTTAACGAAATATTCTAAAAAAAAGGAAATAGAAAAGAAAAACACAAAGACGTTATGGCGGGTTTCTTGACTTCTTGAATCTAAGTATAAGATCAAATAAAAATGACTTAAGAAAAGGCGGTTTTAACATAATGTCGGCTTTTCAAAAAAAAATTTTTTTAGAAATAATCAAAATGGCGTATGATGTTAACGGTTAAGGTAACGGAAAAACACAGATGTCAAGTTCAAATTCATCATTCGTTGAGAAATATGTGCGTATGTGGGGCAGGGGGGAGGGGAGAAATTAGTGACCTTCGACCCAACAGTCAGAGCTTTAACTTGACGTTTTCTCAAATAACATGTATATGAAAAGGTTTGCTTGATTAATATCAACAGATAACATCAAAGCATGAATGTTGTGTATTATATATGTCTTAGTAACGACCGTTTAAAAGCAAACATATATGCAAATATGACGTCGTGGCGGCCATATTGGTATTATGAGACGTTGAAAACATTGCAGCGACACTTTTAGTCCATGGCCTATAACGTGTTAAAAGTTTGTAGATGCATATTTTACCAGTAAACAGATACAAAAGACAATTTATTATGACAGAATAACAAGGAGAGGAATTAGAAACATAATCCAAAACAACGGCCTTTTCACCTGATGGTAAAAAGGCCAAATAGAAGATGAGAAAAAGTTAAGCATTCACATACCGTTAAACAGTTCTCTGTGGTAACAAAGCAAACAATTTTCTTTTTTCAACGTAAAAAATAAAGACATGACTTCTGAAATAATCCTTAAGATACATATAGATATTACTGTTACAGAAAAGTTATAAGGCGTTTTCTTATTCGATGGAACGTTATAAAAAAAATTGCTAATACATAGGATGTTAACAAATTAGATAACAATAGTTATGAAGGATTATATTTCATTCAGTTTCTATAACATAAAAAATGATGAGTTTATGAGTAGTTTATTTTACTGTGGATTGTTTTAAGTGTTTCTGGAAACAGCTAGATGGCTTCATTGTTAGGTCTATTAACTGTGGATACAAAAAAATGTATATTATCAGTAAACCAAAGACAATGTTTTATTGACAAGTTTCCCTAAGGGAGATAAACCTAGACAGTAGTAAAAGTCGGAGGCCCATATTATTATTGAATATTGTTCTTAAAATAGTCTCAATTTGTAAAGCAATACCGTGTTTGTATTGGCAGGTCTCCCATACCATGCTGGTACTCTCTGACACCGTGTAAGTACCCTACCGTACCGTGAAAGCACTCTCGGATACCTTGTTAGTACTGTCAGGTAATAAGATAGTGGTCTTCGATACCATGTTGGCACTCTCTAACACCATGTCCGTATTTCCCTATCCATAGACTACACAGGGCCTACATGCTAGTTTTGTCATGTTGCGTTTTTAGAAATGGGACGCTACGGAAGTGCGGTGGATGGGGCTTAGACGATTGAATAATGACCCTTATCCAATCGAAATGCGATAAATATATCGTGTTAAAATGCTTGTTTGTGTGAAGCGATTAATATTGAGCCCCTTCAGTGACCCTGTCGTCAGTGGATACGTTCGTTACATGACTTAAAGCTCAGACGAAGAAAACTCTTAGACCAATGAAAATATATTGCTGTAGGATTTTTCAGGTTTAATGTGAGCTATCTTACCTTAATCTTACACAGGATTCCAAATTGGTATAAGGTGTCCATTCTACCCGCACAGGGGTTTGTAGATTCCTACAACGAACATTATGTACGTCACTTGCGTTTATGTCCTCGTAACCGTCATACGTAATGTCTAGTTCCAAAGCATGTATCCTTCTGTCACCCCCATCGTATTCGATTTCAACTGGAATGAGAAAAAAGTCGCGTGAGTATATCGTTTGTTGTTGTTATCTTCTCATGATAACTGAAGCCTTAACATCAGACCAATCGTAACAAATCACAATAGGAGAATACCGCAACAGAACCAGAATTCTACCTCAAAATCGATATAACTAGGACCAGGTATGAACGAATTAAAAGTTTGCATGGAAATCCTTGAAATAACAAGGAGAGCAAGACCAGGTGTTCCAGAAGGTTAAGCACATCGGATGATGGATATCTTTATTACCACAGGAAAAACCTACCAAAGTCATTCTTGAGGAATGTGGGTTTTTTTCGGCCTCTTTCAGTTTGGATCAAGAAAATAATGGGTTCACAGATATGACGAATTTCGAAACATATATCTGTTAGGAGGAAAAAAGAAATAAAGCTTCCGATGCATAGACATGTATATAATGACTCATGTGAAGACACTGATATGAGACCAGGTGATTTCTAGAAGGTCGTATGGAATACGTACAGTTGTGTTTTGTGATCTTGCCTTGCATATACATTTCACGTGCAAAGACAAGTACAAGAGGCCGTGGCCAGCATGTTGCAATCTTTCGAATAAATCCTTACAACTGAAGTGCACTTACAGTGCAAATTATGGTGTTTTATGAGATTTCAAGATCCCTATGAAAATGCATGTGTGTGCACGTGAGAATGGCATACCTGGTGATAGTCTCCGGTTACATATATCTGAACACATGTTTTAATTGTTGATACATTTTATTGGCGTATGCGTTTCCATAAGGTTTATTTGTGGGTTTATCACAATATATTGAATTAATATGTCACACTAAAGAAAAATAAACTTGAATTGGATTTTGGAAAGTCTGGTTGTAGGCATGCACAGTACTATATTTGTTGAATTCTGTATCTCCTTGGATTTACAATCGAGTCGATAAGACAATTTTGATTTCATCAGTATATATGCAGGAAGATTACTGTACATATATCCCGGTGGAATATTGTTTAATGTAGATAAATGAAACAGGTGTTTTTTAATTTTTCTCTCATTTTGTATGAAACTGTGTTGTGTTTGTTCTGTGCTTTCAGACATTCAAACACGAGTGACATAATTTATATATATTATGATAAATAATATACCTATTAGGTTAACATAGGTGTGTGCGGTATCCTGTACAATTTTCAATAAAGCAATTCGTTTAATAATGCGGCATACATGTTTACTCCAATTGAAGATATTTCCTTTAGTTGCAAATATTAAGATAGAAAAAAGTCATCTTCTCTCAATATTAATATACAAGGAAAGTAGGCTTGGACACATAATTTTTGTTTGAGCAGGAGAATGTTTTCATGAATTTTTGTTTATATCAAATTTATAAAATAGACTAGGAACCCAGATGCCAAAACAAAACAATTAAAAACATGCCCATTATCCTCTCTGAGACGATCAAAAATAATATCTACTCTTTATATTAATTGTTCCGTGACCACATTGTTTGTTAGTACCGTCTTTTAGTTTCATTGTGATGCGCATATGTTGAACAGCCAATGATTTATCTCGAGTTTCCATTAGATCTTAAAACGAAACATTGTGTTCGGTTGAGGAGTGAACAAAGGCATTAGACTTGTAGGACTACATCCAAACTGTTATAGCAGTTATGCCGTTGTCTACTCTTTATGTTAAGTGTTCCTCGAACCCTATTATTTGTTAACATCGTCTTTTTATTTCATTTGTGACATTGTGTACACAATATAATATAATATCACTATCTCACTCGTGCACGAAATCCACATAGGTCAAGGGAAATAAATATAGTGCGTTAAACGAAAATAATAGAAAACTGACATTGCACGTGACAGAAGGAAAGGCGTCTATCTGTCGTTCAGTTCTTTGGACCCTAACCTCCCGGATAGATATATTGTATAATTTGCCTGGAACCAAGTGAATGATGTTCTCCTGGTATTGACGTCATCATTCGTAAACGATTGACGTCACTGTTTTGTTATTTTGTCACGTTTCTGGCTTTGTTATGTATCGTTCCAAAGGAAAGTTCGATTAAGCATATTTGCGTGATTACATAGGTCATATTTTTGTAAACATTTAACTGATAATTTGTCTGTTGATGTATACTGTATCGTTTATCGGAGGCAAAATGGGAACTCTTGTACGTAATTTGTAACGAAATGGCGATAATGATCACGAGAGACCAAAAGACCAAAACGGAACAAAACAGACAAATCAAAATTGAGTCGTATGGAATGAACAGCGCAATACAGTATGCCATTAACATTGCTTATAAATATGTGTGATCCAGCAATGCAACATTACGTGAAATTATCAGTGGTATTATATCACAAAAGTCTGTTCAGATAATGACGAATAATTAGAATGTCGGTTACAGTTATGTAAGCTCTTACGAATTACAAGGAGAGAGACTATTGTATCAACATGTCGTATTTTGCCCGTAATTATCTTAAACAATGAATGGTTAACACGTTTGCAAAATAAAAATTGAGTAACAGAAATTGGTTAATGTTTTGTTAAAAATAAATAACAAACTTACGTCACACTTCTATAACTGTTAATACAAAAACAAATGCCCTATCCTTACCAATAGGCCAATCATATAATAGTAAATAAACATGAGGACCATTCAGCACTTAGAAACATCTATACCCACATTTTATTTTTAAATAGTTCGAATCTTGAAAGGTATGTTTTGAAAGGTGATTTGAAACAGAGAACTAATTACATGGCGATCTGTATGAATTGGAATTTAAAAAAAACCAGTTAAAAATAAAGGGAGATGACTCATATATATATTAGGATATATGATATATTATCATATTAATAGAAGTAAAGTAATAACTATCCCCAGAGAAATATCTTGAACTCAAAGCACATGTATAATGTGTAATGTAGCATACCTATACATATTAAAAGATAAAAATGATATAGAAAATTTCGGAAAGTAAAACGTCGAATAATTGTGTTCATTAACGTTTGATAACAGTTGTAATGACAAAATCATATCGATGACAATGTTAATCATACTCCCTGTTTCAGGTTGTTTTATAAAGAGGCGAACATGACAGAAATAGAAGCCAGCTTTACAACATTGTTATGATTATTAGCAGCTCGTAAATGTTCGTTAAACGCTCCCCTGGTGATAATGAGGTGTCAATTAGCCCAGCTAGTGGAGGGATTCTGTGTTAATATTGACCCGTTCATTGTTCGATAGATGGCAAATGTTTTCACACTTATTTGCCTCATTGAACGGTTCAGATAAATCCGCGATATTTCCAGTTCAATAATTATCCCTTGTGGAAATGATCCAAAAGCTGCATACAGTATTAGAACTATTCAGTTGCATATTTTTTTCATTAAATGTTTTTCTTCCTGTATTAGTATGACCACTGGACTTTATCACTCACCACAGATAAGCAATGGGCGTCGATTCAATTTTATTTGTTACTTGTATCTGATGATCACCAATCTTATATTAAAATTGTATTGGATTGTATCGTAGAGGAAAAGAATAACAAGTCTTATTTTAGTTAGATTGGTGTGTTATTACGTGACTGTCGTGTTGTTGAGAGACCTCACCAAAGTCATAGATTTACCATTTTTTGTTATTTTTATTTATTTATGTATTATGATACCTTATCTTTAAAACAGTGTATTTGATTGGATTATATTGATCACATGACGGGGCAATTATACATCGTTTCGACCTTACGCGTCCGCATTTCCCTCGTCATTCGGAGCCTTTCTAAAATAATGGACAAGAAACACCACAAACGAGGTCCGAGTAACTGAAAAAGATAACAATAATGGCATATGTCTTAAATACTAGGATTAACTGTATTAACGATCAAAAGATTTCAACACATGTGAATTATCTGTCGTCAGGAATGATGATTTTGACCTGTTTAAGCCATTTTGATTATGATAAATTTTAAAGACATTCATTTCAATGGAGCATTGCTATTCGCATCAATGACGGGGAGTATATTTCTGTTAGTTGATTTAAATTATTGAAAACAAAAAACAGGATTTTCGATTAGGATTTTGTAGTGAAATCAAGGCATTTTGACAAAGGTTTGATCACCTTTAAAGAGAAGGAAGAATTAAATTTAGTGCATTCAGATTATTCTTATTCTGTAGTCGTATTTTCGTTTATTCAGTTCATTATTGTCCTTGACCAAGTGAACAATAAACTATGCGAAATTGATATTACTCTGACAACACAATCGTCATAGAAATCAACATTTCTAATGAACATTAACATTATGCACCCGTCTTTGTTCTATTGGTTTATAACTGTACAGATTTAACACCACGAACATGTATCTTCATTCGTCTGATACATGTATAACACATGTATTTCAAAATGGCGACCATAATTGCGCAATACAGTTTGCTCTTAACGCCACGAACATGCGTCCTTATGTATAACACATTTATTTCAAAATGGCGACCATTATTGCACGATACAGTTTGCTCTTGTGTAAGCTGTATAATGTGTTGCTTCGCCAATCCACTGTTCATGACACTTAATGCGATTATAACGGTTTTCACATGAAGCAGTATTTTATATGTGCGATGTTGATATTGATTAATATAATAACCTGATTTTTCAACTGTTATTGTTAAAGTGTATGTGATATGAACCTGAAAAGGTAACATTGACCGAGATGAAACCGAGCCACAGTAACTCCCATATGCCTCGAAAAAGAAAAACCTGGAGGTTGAACAGAATTTGCATTTACTAATGATCTCAGAATAACGCATTTAAAATGAGCGAATCGTGATCCAGCTCGCTGCAACACACAATTGGTTTCAGACGAGTGGTGATTTGGGCCCTGTATAAGAGATTGGATGGTTACACTGAGCCCTTAGTACCCATATTTCCCAGAAGGCGGCAGCTCAGCGTCAATCGCGAGAGACATTTTACGGGTAGAATATTTTGTGTATCTCTGCCACCCTGGCGCTTGATACCTGCGCCCCAAATCAATGGGAGTTGGGCAGAAATAGTGATGTTGAAAACGCATCGACAATGAAGAAAAAAAAATAGAAAAATACGCGGGAAAACATCAACAAACAGAATATTGCCACATTTTTCTCGTAATATAATCTACCCAGGGTAGCAACACTACCGCATTATTATCGCCTCTTCTGCTGAGGAAGGGAATTCAAGGCATCACTTGCGGGGTCAATCCCTCAAACGTCTGGGATTTTGAGATCTGTCTATCAGATGCGACTTTTCAAGAAACCCGTCTCTTGACCAACGCTGCAATTTGGATTGCCTGACAACACGGTTGAAGATGCCATATGTTTGGTTTTTCTTTGTCAGTTTAAGCTCCCTTTTTGTCACATTGGAATTAGTTGCCCTTTGGCCAACACTGTCCCACAAATCGTAAGTTTGGATGGGTTGACAACATATTAACAAAAATATTTACACTTGTGCTGAGTACAAAATGTTGTGTAGACACAGATTAAATGGCCAAAAATGTAGTCTCAAGAATTTATTTATTTTTTAAATGTGAAGCCCACATAGAACACATCATCATGTATATGTTAATTTTAGTGCTGATTTTTTTTTTAAAGTTTTGATACATGCAATATTACAGGGGTTATTCATTGTACAAAAATATCACCCATGACCACCGTACGCTACTGTACACTGCTACCCCATGCCTAACGACGTCAGTATCGGCTTAACGACAGTTCCGTTAACGTTGTAGGATGTGTATGCAATGAGAAGTAAGATAACTTTCTGTGGCCCATGTGACTGCAAAGGACTGTTTAATCCTTAGTTTTGGCCTTGTGGTCATACAATGCTTTGATTGTTGTTTAACTCATTTGTTTGTCTTGCTTTAAAACCTAAGCTGGCAGTTCCTCCCATATCTAGACATTTTCATGAATTTCACTTGAAAGTTCTTTGTGATTTGGAGAAAATCCCCCTTACTGATGTTCCATACAAAGGAAGTAAAGTTGACTAGTTCCTCAAAGTCATCAATGGCCTTGACATTTTATGGATCAGCTGTGAAAGTAGAGGCATCATTAGTTGAACGACAGGAAGAAGATGTGTTGCCGACAACACATGCTGCTGTACAACTTTCTCTTCAACCTTAAAGCCGTCAGTATATAAAATTGCATGCGAAGGAAATCGTGAAATAAACTCTGAAAAAAGAGCTGTTGTATTGAATAAGGAGAGTGCGTAATATGTCCCAGACGACCAACGTGACTGTCATAGTGACAACCAGCACATTTGATCATTCTATATCTTCTATTCAACCGACAGAGTTTATGTAGACTAATCCTATATCTCCACTCGAGTAATTTGGCATTCAATAAAATTCAATTATAGACTTTGGCTGAGGTCGATACCTGGATTTATCAACCCGAGAAAAGATATATTAACCGAGGACGCAGTATTGACCGAAGTTAAAGGCTAAAATTGTTTTATTATTTTCATAACAGTTATGTAAGCAATCTGTGAAAAAAAAAAAAAAAAATCGGAAGCTGGACGATGATTCTATTTTTAGAAACACCCAGTCAGTCCTTTAACAAAAATCACGCGCTCCAAGTCAATATCGGTTTTTATCGGTGGACACGTGATGCACTCCTGGCCAATCACTTGTCGGGAATAATATGAAAAATCTAATAATGGGTGATACCATTTACATTTTGTATATCCCTTAGTAGCACAAACAATATTTGTATTACAAACAATTTGTATTGCCGATTCACTCTATAAAGTACCTCGGAAACTGATTATTAACTTACTGCGACACTACATGACTTTAAACATATAGTGATACTATTCATTCAGATATATATTCTGAAGAATTCTTAAGAAGTTCATGGAAAATCTTGCATCTTCACATTTATTTTAAATAAACCTTTGCTAAAGGTTTCGACCTACACGCATTGTACACCAACGTTCATTACCAAATCACCTTCCGAAAGTTTATTATATCATTCTTTCTGTTTTAAAGTATTAATCCCAATTGTTATCAATAGAAATTTATTATATATTTATAGACATCACACTACTTTCTACCTTTAACAACTACACCCTCTGCGCATGAATTCGGGGGGGGGGGGGGGGGGTTCTAAGAATATATCGTCATACCTTGTGTATTCCATTGAACATTCCTGCGCCACTTCTAGTCAATCTAATTTGATATTCTGTCATAAAACTTAAATACGATAATTTTCCAGTCCTTCTGTTTCGCATACACAGTTATTTACTAAGTAATGTCTCATAGCAGTTGAGAGCTAACGTCATTGATCCCCCGGCTTCTGAAAAGATGCTTGTTTGTAAGGTTGACTTGACTTACCTGTGAATGTCATGTTTGTTAGGATGATTTGACCTATCTGTGCATGTCATGTTTTTTTGGATGGTTTAACTTACCTGTGCATGTCCTGGTTGTTAAGGTGGTTTGACTTACCTCTTTATGTCGTGTTTTTTAAGGTGGTTTGACTGACATGTGTATGTCATGTTTATTATGGTGGTTTGACATACCTGTGAATGTCACGTTAGTAAGGTTAGTTTGACTTACCTGTGTATGTCATGTTAGGTAGGTTGGTTTGACTTACCTGTGTATGTCATTCATTTAGGATGGCTTGACTTACCTGTATATTTCATGTTAGTTTGCTTGGTTTGACTTACCTGTGAATGTTTTGATAGTAAGGTTAGTTTGACTTACCTGTGTATGTCATGTTGGGTAGGTTGGTTTGACTTACCTGTGTATGTCATGTCATTTAGGATGGCTTGACTTACCTGTATATTTCATGTTAGTTGGGTTGGTTTGACTTACCTGTGAATGTCATGTTAGTAAGGTTAGTTTGACTTACCTGTGTATGTCATGTTAGGTAGGTTGGTTTGACTTACCTGTGTATGTCATGTCATTTAGGATGGCTTGACTTACCTGTGTATTTCATGTTAGTTGGGTTGGTTTGACTTACCTGTATACGTCATGTTAGTTAGGATGGTTTGACTCACCTGTGTATGTCATATTTGGAAGGAAGTCAAGGTACGGATCAAGTCGTTCATGGTAAACCGCTAATTTGTAGCCACCTGTGGTGTTATCACTTGTTGTAACCCCGGTATCTGGTACATCTCCACACTGTTGACGTATCCCATTCACTTGATCACGTGACACAGACAGCAATATCACAAGCCCCATAAAGATGTTCGGGAAGAGTACACAGACCGAACGTGCCGTAAATGGCATCTTGGATCGTGCGGTGAATCAGAGTAAACGGGTCATCATCTGCAATTAAATACGAAAGAGGTACAGAATAGTGATATTTCTTCTTTGTGTACTCGCTCCCTATCGATAGGCGAAACGTATCGGTTCGAGTGACATACAAAATATACTATTTCGTCATATCATTGAACTGGTAAAAAATACAAATCGCTAGCTCAGTCATAGTTTGACAAAGGGACCAGTCGGTCTTGAAACGTCGCGACAAAATTTATTAAGGAGTAAAGAAATAAATAGGAATACTTCACAAATCAAAATACACCTTATTTTACCTCTTTTGGAATACTGTTGGGATGGTTGTTCAATTGGCAGTGAAAATAAGTCTAGTGAGGAAAATGCGGAATTATTAATACATGTCCAGCAGTTCGTGTTGAGCACTCGTGGTTCACCTAGGTACAGTCTCCCCAATTAATATATCTTCCCCACCTTTTTCTGACCTCCCGCTCCAATTCCTACCCCTTCTCTATCCTTCTTCTCATCCGCTTTCTCGTGTATATTTGTCAATAAATATAAATGGTTAAATGTATGAGGTATATTATTGAAAGATGAACGAATTCATTTCTTTTTCATTTCTGTGTAGGTTGTTGTAATGCCTCATCAAATATATTAATTTGTATATATCGCTGCGTTTGTGAATATCCGAGTGGTGTTGTGTGAGACCTTTAAAAAAACTATTTTGTTGTATATAACATATCGAGTACTATGTTACCATATCCTTTACACTAACACTGACGGCACAGTAGAAACGGATAGCCCATAATGTATGGAACGTTACTGGGAAAAGACAGCACGGCACAGTAGAAACGGATAGCCCATAACGTATGGAACGTTACTGGAAAAAGACAGCACGGCACAGAAGAAACGGATAGCCCATAATGTATGGAACGTTACTGGGAAAAGACAGCACGGCACAGTCGAAACGGATAGCCCATAATGTATGGAACGTTACTGGGAAAAGACAGCACGGCACAGTCGAAACGGATAGCCCATAATGTATGGAACGTTACTGGGAAAAGACAGCACGGCACAGTCGAAACGGATAGCCCATAATGTATGGAACGTTACTGGGAAAAGACGGCACGGCACAGTAGAAACGGATAGCCCATAATGTATGGAACGTTACCGGGAAAAGACAACACGGCACAGTAGAAACGGATAGCCCATAATGTATGGAACGTTACTGGATGCGATTAAGCTCATCACTAGTGTTGTCGGTGCTGGGAAGGACCTTTAACATGCCATCAATTACAATATACTACATATATGCTTAATTTCTATAAGTATGTGTAGGTACGATTGTGTGTGTATATATGTCCGTGTGAGTGTGTGTTTGTCCATACATGTATACATTTTATTTAATCATTCCTTTGCTTCTCCGCTCTCTCTTCTACCTCTCGTTTGCCTCATTCAGTCATAATGATATACATCATATATAACTGTGTATAGTTAGCCAACTTATGATGTATACGTATGCCTAATTAAACAGCTTGTAATATTCTTGAAACTTATGCCCATTCCCTTTGCTTAAATGTGGCAATAAAATATGTTTTTATTAAAAGTGGGTCAAATATCAATAGAGAACTTTCAATGAAGGGCAATCAAGCGGAACTAACCACCTTACCCTGCCTCATGAAACTTTAAACACTTGGTCATCTAACATTGGAATAAAGGACAAAGACGTTATAGAAGTCTTCAAAATATTGAACAAAACAGACATTGATATCCCGTGGAAAAGACAAATGTAACAGTTTAAGTCGGGTGGCATAGTGGATACCGCACTTGCCTTTCACCAAGGCGGCCGGGGTTCAATTCCCCGATCGGACGTGAAAAGGTATGAGCCCACCTGCCTGACCACTTGGGTTTTCTCCGGGTACTCCGGTTTCCTCCCACATTAAGACCTCTTCGCGCTAACATCCGTGCCAACAAGAGATTAACATAAGTTGAAATAACTTGTTTCTTGTTTCATAATTGTTGTAAAAAAATAAAGTTTGTATTATCAGTGTGAGTGAGATTTTGGTAGTATATGACATTATGAATGAACGATTTTGATACCTTGCTGTACAAACATTGGAAATCTACAACCCTCCGTACAGCTTCTCATATTTTTATTTTTGTAAAAATCCTTTGACTAGGCTTTGGTTAGCATGTCCATTTTTTATAACTGTAAATCTTAATAGTACAGTATATAAATCTTCATGCAACCGGAACATTGTTGATAAAAGAAAATGAGAACCGTACGAGTATGTGTTATATTTATCAGCGTCTTATGCTACTCAGTGGTCTTTTTGTTATGTCCGATAGGGAGTATCTAATGCCAACCTGTGTCCACCTTAGTGGTATCCAATAGCAACAGTGTCGTTAAAGGTACTGGCATGTTGATATATGTTTTACAGTTACTCAGATACTCATCGTTTAATATTTGTATAGCATTAAGGCAGCTAGCTGTGACGGAAATTTTTATTGAATTCACTGAGCATGCAACGACATGACTTATACTGTTATCACTAGACGAATGGAAGTCAGCAAAGCGAAACTGTTGTAGATACATAATGGACCGACCCCTGTGCTGTCAGCTCAGATTAACTTTTTCCATACCGTCGTCGTGTAAATACATCTTAATTTCCCTGTGATGTGTATGATGTTTTGTTTGGAATATTAAAATTGCAGAAAAGACTTCTTAACCTTAAGATGAATTGGACTTCGCGTACAAAAGTAAGTATTGTTTTTCTTGTTATAGAATTAGTTGATTTAAAATGGATACTCGTCTGTTTTAATGTTGAAGATTGTATGTAACACATTACGTTCAACAAATTCCGGGATGTGAGGTGGCGCATCTTTGATATATGATTCAATGGAACTTTATTGCATAAAGGAGACCGGGGTAAGTGCGGCCAGCCCTGATAAGTTTGGTCTTGAGCAAATATTAACAACTTTGAGGATCTAGTTCAGTTGATTCACATCAAAAATGACGAGGAAAACTTAGGTATTAAATTACTACAAGAGAGAAATTTGAGGGCCAATTTATGTCGGTCTTGGGAATCAGTATATGATTAAGTGATAAGTGGATAAAGCGTTGGTCACGAAGGGTCACAGAGTTGAAAACCTTTCAATGAAATCTCTGAAACTACTTATAAGAAGCACCTCCTCTGTTCAGCAACATTTTATAAAACAATCCTTAGATGATGATTATCAAACCATGTACTGAAAAAAGAGACTGACCCCGGGATGTCAGGGTTAGGAGTCCTATTAAAAGTTATCACTAAGTGGAAAGTCTTCAAACGTTTTCTCCTCTAAAAGGTACCGCTATATCCATATTACGTTTAATAAAACAATCATGACATGATGACAAATTCAAACGTCAACTCCTTACATTCTTAGTACAATTAGACCAACGTCTTAACGTGGTCCGTAGAGGAAGAGGATAAGAATATAAACTCAAGAAGTGGCTGATCCCTAAAAGTGGTCTGTGTCATACATATGCTACATATGCATCCTTAAACTAAACATATCATCAGACAAATACCTTAACCTAGGGCCCAGGACACCAAATGAGCCGTGCAAAACAGAAAACAAAGCCGTTTTGTGGAAAACAAATGCCACAAGCAGCAACCTATTCGACAATGGTATCACACACCAAGTCGAACTTTACACATCTCTCTTGAAAAGCTATGTTACACAGACCTGTCCTATTGTTCGTACCCTGGAATATGCTTTTCATCAACGATTCTCGACACCTTTCCATAGACCACGATCGACTTTCAAGGTTAAAAGAGTCAAATTGATTATGATATTGAAATAAGCACCAAACACCAGGTAAGCGTTCATGGTCCAATGGGTCGTTTGTTGAAGAATATCCCAGTGACGGGACTCATCGTCCCAAGGACAGCTATGGTTATATTATGGAAGGTGCTATTTTTTTGTGATTGGGTCAAGCCTCATTCAGTTCAATTTGTTTAACCATTTATTTTCCACTTTTACCTCAATTGTGCCGATTGTACTTATTGGATTCCAATACACTTGTACTTGCTGATTTCCTATAAACTGGTACTTGTTGGATTCCAATAAAAATTCATATAAATACTGTGACGTGTGTAGATATGTTGGGTTTTGTTCAGATGCGCATTTAAGATGGTCATCGTGACCTCTGACTGTGACATATTTATGTGTGCTATAACATGTCTTCATTAATACAATTTTTAATGAAAGTAGATGAAAGGGATGTTACACAGTTACTTTTTAGTGTAATTGCGGAAATATAGACGTCATGTACTGATCTTCTCTGATCTGAGGGAAATTAGAGCTTTTCAAAACGTAGCACTAATCAATATGCAAGAGGTTTATTCAGAAATAGGTCATCTCTTTTTTAATCGGACATCCAACATGACTGTTAATTTCAATGAAGGACCTAAAAAAGGGCATCATGTGTACAAGTAGTCATGAATATTTCTTTTTCACAGTTAAAGATACACATGGTTTTTTATCTTAAGAACAGAAAGCTTCAATAATTTGGATGATACACCATGCTGCTCCCATATTCAGAACCTAACTTCTCCGGTGGTATCTTACCCATATATTGCTGATCATAAAATTATCTTTTTATTTCAGTGCTACTTTCGAGTGGTTTTGGCAATGGTAGCTATGGCTACATCGATGATGCTGGTTTACAGCATAATGGATGAGGAGTTGGACGATACGTGGGACAATATACATGTATCCGAGACACAGGAATGTCTTCATAAATTGGTTCTCACCTCAGGAAAAGATGCAAAAGAGACTTCCATTGCAAAATCCATACTAACAGAGAGAAGTGACATACAGGATTTGAACAGGATTTGAAATATATTGTGTACGATTGTAGTAGCAGTGTTGTGTGGTCTTTCTGTGGTGGGTGGTCAGACAGAATGTCGGGAATCCTCTCAACATTCACAATATCCCTTCTGACGAAACGACGTTTCCTGATTAATATTAACAGCCCATGTCCTCTTCATGACTATCTCATCCCAGCACATTTTGAATGGCGATATAATTCGTCAATACTTACAAACAGAACAAGTTCATATCAAGACCTTACTCTTGACCGCTCTGCTAAGATCAGAAGTTATCTCTCAGGAATCAGCAACATCAACAAATATTTCAAGCGTGACGTTAACTTTGTTCGGGTGAACTGGGACTTTACAGAGGAATTCAGAAAAAGGCCACACATTGGATGTGAAATTCCGTGGATTACGAAATTGCAGTATGCTGACATGTACAAACAGCTTTATAATTTCCTCTTTAAGCCATCGCCTTTCCTTGTTCGAGCATTAAATGATTTTGACCGAACTCAACGAACACGACATAAGATAGCGTGTGCCCATGTACGTTTTGGTGGTAATATAAATATGCCATTTGACTACAAACGAGTTAAACTACCGTTAGGCATGTTGTGGAATTATTTTGACAATTTAGACAAAGAAGAATATGACTTCTTTGTTGCTTCCGATACCAACGGTGTGAAGCATTTGGCTAAGCAACGCTATCCTGGAAACATGATAGATACCCCAGGACAAATAACACACATTGACCAGCCCTCTCTTAATAATCAACGCGAGGGGTTCATGAAACAGCTGCTAGACTTCTACACATTGGTAAGATGTGATATACTCATTATTACATCAAGCGGTTTTGGAATGCTGGCCGCGTATATCAGGGAGGTAGACACCGGATTGTATTGTTGGATTGGAAGAGACATTAGACCATGTTCCAGGTACACGATCCATAACACGTTTCCAGGTGAAATGTTGGCACCTGGTTCTTAGGGTAACGAGAATTTCTCCAACCAAGGAGATTTAATTAATAACTACAGGTTACATAAAGTATATACGGGGTTTACTCCATTTGGACACCAGGTAAACTTTGTGGTACACAGAGTGCACACATTTTTTGTGTATTTATTTTGTAATGTATTGTCAAAAAAAAAACAGTACCATACAAATGAGTTACTGAACAAATCTGTGCATTCAGTGTCAGAGCTTTTAGTAGACCCTTGACAGCAAGTAATTTCAGAAGTTTATTACCACTTTGTTTTAATCAGACCTACAAGATCGTAAGTCTACCTGCAGGTCACATTCTGGCAATCAGGGATCCATTTACCACTACTTATACTATATATATATATCAAACAGTTTGTGTCCAACTTGACTACGGTTTTTATAAATTAATTCTGAAAAGAACACTATATATACCTTGCGGGATTTTAATGAACAAAGTGAATAAAGATGAAAACTATCCATGAACAGATCTAGAGTTCTGAGTGGATTTGCTAACCAGTGCGTGCTCTTTAGATTGAGTAGTAAGTGACGCTACCTTATTATGCAACGTATGTATTATATATTGTAGGAAGACTTAAAGAAAAATTATCGCAGCATACAGAATACACATATTCAGAGTGTCATGAGGTTTTTAGTTGCTCAATCATCCGTGGATCCGTATACGACTTTAGATGTTTTTAGGATGTAGAACCCCATTAACTTCATTAAATTAAAACTAAAAATCCTTTACTTAAAAACAAAAATTAAACCCCCTCAATAATAGGCTATAGATAGGTAATAATTTGTACAAAATTGAATTCAAAGTTATATATATAGTATATAAACGAATGCGATCGTTATCAAAACAAATATATCACAAACGTTTGAGATCATTATCAAAACAAATATAAAACAAACATATAGTTCCATTTACGCTGCAGCCCATTATATGAACATTACTAGCAGAAATGTATTTCATTTGAGTATGAAAACATAAAATCTCTTGACGTAACACCTAGCGGGCTTCATGCAATATGGATGTTACCGATTTGCGTTCATACCGGTATGAACATTAAAAAAACGCCGTTCAATCGCTATATGAGATCATTATCAAAAAATACTATACAAATATAGATTATAATATAGACCTTCAACTCGAGAACAAAGATCGTCCGAAGTCAATGTAAAGTAGGCCGAGATTTCCAGAGGAAGGCATCCCAAGCACGAAACATTAAAAATAATTGACTATCCGAAACAAAGAGATGTTGCAATAAATATGGTGAAGTTTTAGGAAAATCTTGACAATAACTATTTGACTTTCATTTACTGTCGAACCCTGGAAACTAGAAAGTCCTAAGTATATATATATATACCTGAAATATATAAATATGTAATACATAAAACCAACCAAAGTCCTTGTAATAGTCACAAGAAAATGCAGCAAATCTGCTGGACACCAACTCTTTTTATAAAAATCACTAAGTGACAGATACAAACTGGTTGTCCAAACCCAAGAGGGGGCGTATCCTACATACTTTAATTTATTCTTCGAGTATGTTTGTTAATATCGTTCAGCATGTATTTTGTTAAATATTTCTACATAAAAAATGCGGAAATTTGTTACTACGTTAAAGTGACAGTTATTCTCCAGTGGTAAATTCCTAATATTGCGCTCTTGGAAATTTATTAGATCCGGATAACGTGAGTAAGCTATCATTTTTTGAAGATAGTAAGCAGCCTCAGTCTCCCAGAATGCTTTCATAAATGGGGAAGCACCGTCCGGAAGTGAACAAAGAGTTTACAGATGAAACCCCTGCGGCTAACGCGCATCATGGAATACGTTTGAACGGAACGGTGTTGCATACCCTCATAAATGTTAAAAAGATGCATTTCAAACCTAAAATATATTTGAGCATAGACGTTTGATCAATATGATAATATAACATGCGTTAAAGAATAAAACATACGTTTGGCTTCTCATGTTATTCCCTGCAGTCACACATTTGAGTGCATAGCATATATCACTCAGAGAACGATGGTTTAAATTAAAAGTCCCGCATTTGATTTTAGCCAAAATACAATTATTTACATCGAGTACGTTGCCATTGACTATCAATAGCAGTCGGCGTGATCCCAACCACGATTCGAATCCTATTAAAGATAACCTGACTGTATGCTTAACTGCAAATTGTTATAAAAGACTCAATTTTTACCTCATGCAATTCTCCAATAGGATATCGATCACATGTCAACGCACGACTGATTTTATAAGGAACCTAAATAATGTCAACGTTATCGCCGACAACAGCAGACATAGAGAGACACCATCTTATAGTACCCTTTATTAACCCTAGTTTGCTACCTTTTTTGCAATATCTCATTTTCCTTATATTTGTAGCAATTCTTTAATATTGCATAAGTATCGCTAAATCCCCTTAACAAAATATCGCTAAACAAATGATTGCAATATGACAATGCTTTACCGTACATTTCGTGTTAACGTCGCTAATTGAGGTTGTTGTATCGGGTTGTACTCCCTGTTTGTATATATGTAGATAAGTCTTCGTGTCATATAATTTCCCGTGGCCTGACTGTAAAAGATTCCGTTATATGAGTTAACGCTAATAATGAAAAATGTCTTTTCAATGATAAACCGCATGATTAAAGGCGTTCGCGGGGAAAACAAGTATTTAATCTATATATATAATATATCTCAGGAATAGCCATTTTTTCATGAAAAAAATGTATTAGCCCCGTCTTTCATCAAAATGTTTAAAAAACACTTTTAAGAAAAAGTAATGAGCTCAAGGAAATCGAATGGATCTTTAAGTCTGACTTCACCAAAATAGAATAAGTGCTGCGTACACCTATATGAGTCAATGCTCGATTTCATTTGAATATTGGAATACTTCATCCATCCCTGATGACCTGATTTATTTCTGAATATGGTCTATCGTTTGGCTGTTCCAGTAGGTATGCAATTTAGAACACCCTATAGCTTGACGATTTACTTGTTGGTTTCACTGTCCTTACTATAATTAAAAATAGTTTGCCGATTTCAATATATATTGGCTATGAAGCTCTTTTCAAATAAATACAGTACAGAAATTTCATATTTCATTATTTTAATAAAAATATATATATATTAATACTATTATTGAAATAGCTGCGAAGTAAAATATTCCCGAATATGTCATGTGTCGCAATATTTGCAAAGGGTCTGAATCGTTTTTAAACAAAGAGAAGATGTGGTCATGACGTAATAGCGAGCGCAGCGAGAGCTCTCTGTATCGTATAGTAACACAAAACGAAACTACAATACTATGCGATCTTTTTCTTTGCATTGTGCAGAACGGACTTTAAGATTTGCGACGCTCTAATTGGTTATTAATACAGAAGAAGCTAAACAATCGCCGTTTTAAACATATCTGTGGGAACAAAACAAAATCTTTCAATTCGTATCTTATTCACGTGAACTTTGCAAACGTATTCGTTATGGTTTGAAGTGTTTGTTCTTTAAAACGGGTTTAGAAATTTAAATTATCGACTTTTTTGACGAATCGGGTTTCGCAATAAAAATATTTGCGGTTTGAAAATCGCGGGCTTCAAAATTTGCCACATTCTGATTGGATGAAAAAGACCGGAACAGAAAACTGTGTCACAACATGACTCCCCGTCCCCCTCTCCACCCTGGTGCGATTTTCTTCAAGTCAGTCGGTTAAATCATAGGGGTTCGTTACAAATGTTTGAAATACACATATGTTATACTCATATGAGTCACAGCACACATAATGCTGTAACCCATATATCAGCATAGCATATGGTGTATTTCAGACATTTGTAATGAACTGATCCCCTGTGGTTCAAGGTGGGAAGTCGACGGGGGTTCAAGATTCATTTATATATAATAAGGCGGCAGGCCAATTGCTTGAATCACTGGTTGACATCGAGTTAAGCCAATGGCTTGTGTATGATGTATGATCCTTGTCAATAAACTTCTGCTGGACACGGCTTCCTTCCGGTTGCGCACGCAGGTTGATTTTCACTAATTGTAATTAACTATTAACAAATATATATGTACATTTATATACAGTTTCGTTGTGATCATATAAATTCCCCTTGGTATAATAGCGGTTCTGAGACTTATTTATGTAACTTTTAGATTAGAGTCATTTATTCTGTATCTACAATACAGTTATTAAAAAGTACACACATATCAGAAGCGATTTAGAAACTATTAATGGCATTGACTGCCCGCGAACTGTATAAAAACGAAGGCTCGAATTTCCGTTGATGATTTTTCCAATGCTTGTTTAATATGACTTTAAAACAGTTAACGCTTGGAGCCGATGTCACATGTTCGGTTAGCGAATTCCATGGTTGAATAACTCTATTACTGAAATAATTGGCAGTTTGATGCTTTCTACAGCATTTTTAACAGCTTTTTAGAATGTCCCCTTGTCGCTCTGTAGTCACACATTTTGAACAGCTTGTCCTATGTCGTTCAGAATTTTAAAAACTTCATATCTGCCTTTTCTCTTCGGTATTCTAGTGTTGGTGATATGATCTGTCCTTAAGTGATGGTACACGTTTAGTAGCTCGACGCTGAATATTTTCTGAATCAGTTTTGTCTCTTCTATTTAATTAAAAACAACGAAACTTAAAAAAGATGACAAACATCAAGCTTTCCATTAAGTCTCCTTTACCTGTACAATGTCTTTTACAATTAACGTTATTATTTCTAAAATCTGTTCTACCCTTTTCAAGTTAAAGTGTAGAACAAATTATAAGTGCAATTAACGCCTTCATTCAATACAGTAACTGTATTTAATGAAGGCGTTAATTGCACTTATTTTTTGTAAACAAATGATATATGGTAATAAATGATGAATGCATACTTGCCAACCTTTTGAATTTTTTAATGGGGGAGAAGCTGGGTGCTCCAAATAAAATGTAACAAAACATAAATAATTAAAAAATATGTGTATATGCCCCCTAGGTAAAAAAAAAACAACACACACACACTTTAGAGGGTCAATCGTCTTTTTAGTTGTTCTTTCTGATGAAATCATTAGGTATCAGAATAGATAAGCAAGTGTACTGGCTGTAAATGGTCAATTCTAGCACGGACTTAGATAGCAATCTAATTCCGTGGTCTGACCTATGATCCAAAGGTGTTATGGGGATGTAGCTCACAAGATCTGTAAAAAAATAAGCTACATGTAGATATGATTCATCATTTCACCAAGGAATTAGACTAGACCTAGGTCCATGACTTTGACTAATTTTTATATGTTTCACTTTTCGAAACGTGTGAAATAATCAGTTCTTAAATATGAAAATGAAAAATTGATTAACTGATTACATGTAACGTTTTAGTCAATTTTCAACCACGTGTATAATCCATTCAGATACGTGGTCACAAATACTAACCATTGACCATTGATATACCTTGTCACAAACTC